AGCTTCACGGTGATGAGGTAATTGGCCCGCATGCAGCTCTCGCATTCCTCCAATACATGACTGAGAACTATGAAACTGATGTGTTTGTACGTCATATGGTCGATACCAGATTGGTTACAGTCGTCCCCATGACAAATGCAATCGGTTTTCATCTTAATGTACGCGAAGAGGTACAACAGATCGAACCTCGAATTTCATTCGACCCGAACCGCGATTTTGGCTTTGACCAGAAACCAACTTATTGCATGCAAACCGTCGCCGCTCGCGCTCTGAACGAACTATTCCGCGTTCACCTGTTTCGTCTCCTCATAACGTTTCACGGCGGCACGAACGTTATCGGCTATGAATGGGGAGATAACTCCCATTGTAACGGACCTATTTGTAAACCTGCGCCGGATACCAAGATAATGGCTGCTCTCGCAGATAGAATGAGCTACAACGCTGGTCCCGCAGGACCCCACACACCCGTATATCCCACCGGAAACATGGGGAAGACTGTGTATCCAGTCAACGGCGGTCTTGAAGATTGGGCGTATGGCGCTTCTTGGGCTGAAGAAGCCACTCAATGTGAGCCTTCAACGCTCGGCGGCTATGCCAAGGAAAAAACAAAGAAAGATCGTATGACCAAGAGATGTATAACATATCTCGTAGAGACTGCGGATAGCAAGAGACCCCCTGAAAGCACACTCGGCGACTCTGATGATATGATGCATCGAGGGGCACCTGGGGATGGTCACATTCCGCGCAACGTGCGACTGTTAATTACGGCGGTTGATGCCTTGGAACCCTATACTCTTCTTCACAATGTGAAGGAAGGTCGTACAGGGAAGCCGGCCGTGTCGTGGTCTGTTAGCGGCGCATTCCAAGTGGATGGAACTTTGCTGCAGTGGAGCACTATGGACGGAGCTGTTCACGGATTCAGCGATGCGCAATCAGGAGCGGCCGGTGTTCCAATTGCTGGGGGTCGTGGAACTCGCTTCTCGCAAGAATTCCCAGAAGATAGCCTCTCTTCCACAGACTTTCTTTTTGTGCGTGTGGTCTCAGTTGTCGACCATAACTTTACATCGCAGCCGGAGGGAAGTTCTCCAGATGTGTCACCACAAAGTCATCTGATGGGCTCGCGGGGCAGTACGAAATGGTCGTTTAGCGTCGGTGAGCGTAGCATTCATGGTCGCTCAGTGTTCTTCTCTCCGACGCACATGATTCACATGTCCGCCACCGGCTCGGTGAAGAGCGCCGAGTCTTCAAACATGACATGGGGGTCTCAACCGGGGCAGTTGTATACGCCGTCTGATACAGATCTGTGCCGCGTGATCGCGGAGAAGTCGTTATCATTTAGTCCTGATTTTTGTGGGCAGTCGCTGGTGGCCTTTGCCCATGGCGGTGCCAAGCTCAGCGGACGCGCATCGCTTTTGTCTGCCCTAATCAGTGTGGTGGCCATTCTCGGAGTCGGTTTTATGTTACTCATTGTCATCCGGCGAAGACGCAGTCGTATTCCAAAGGGTGGAGACTCCCCATTCTTTACAATTGGAAACGAAGAAGACGAGGAAGAACGAAGGGCCTTGTCAGGCGGCGAAGGAAGGCGAGAAGACGAAAGTACGCAAGAACAAGTCGTTTCAGCTTCGGATGTGAAAGCACATGGATCCGAAGTCGCACACTACTGAAAGGTATTTCTTTTTTATACAGCAGCTAGTCAGCTCCTCTAAAACTGTGCATGACGCTACATCTACATCTTGCAAATGCAGCGTCTGCAAGTTTGATATGCTGTATCCAGGGTACTCGAACTTGAAGAAGTGCAAGAACGAGAGAGCACTACTGCGTGTGCATTCTAGTGCCTGCAGTACTAAAAGGAAGGCGTTATTCACTCCATGACGCAGATTTTGTTAGGTTACACACACTCGAGGTAGAAGGCTACCACATGACTACAGACTGATGGTTTACATGTGAAGACACTCTTGACATCATACCCTTGGTACAAGCCAGTTTCAATTGAGTACGTACGGCCATATTGAAATATGAGACAAGACGGGGATTGGAATATACAATTCAGCGGAGCATACAGGTTCTCCCCGAAAGCTATGTGACACAGGCTTCAAAAAAAGGGCGTATTAGCTGCTATAGGCAACGTCAGCTTGCTTGAGCGTGGAGTCTGTTTCACTAGACTCTCCACTTTCCGCCAGATAACGCTCGAGGGCACCTTTTCCGCGCAGGACAGAGGTATATACATGCCCAGGTTTGCTGGGGTCCTCCTCGATAACGATGGCAGTGTGATCTCCATCCATGTCGGGAACATCATACATGACTTTGTTGAGAGTTCGTTCCATAAGGGAGCGTAAGCCCCGCGCACCAGTACCTTTTTCAAGTGCCTGACGGGCTATAATTGCCAAAGCGGCATCGCTCATGTGAAGTTGGGCGTTGTTCATCTTGAGCAACTCCCGAAATTGCTTAACAATAGCATTCTTTGGCTGAGTCAAAATCTGGACGAGCTGCTCCAAATCGAGGGGATGAAGATTGACAACGATGGGAAGTCGACCAATGAGCTCGCCAATTAACCCGAAACTAGCGAGATCCTCACTTTCAATGTGATCGAGAATGGTGGAATCTATGGGCCCGTCTTTTCCCTCTGCACGCACATGCGCGCCAAAACCAATGCTGGATGCAGCCATTCGGTCGGCCACAATGCGTTCTAAGCCAGGAAAAGCGCCGCCACAGATGAAAAGGATGTTGGTGGTGTCAACGTGAATGACGTCACCACGGGGGTTCTTCCTTCCTCCTCCGCGTTCGGGTACTCCTACTACACTTCCTTCTAATATCTTGAGCAGAGCCTGTTGAACACCGACACCGGATACGTCACGCGTTATGCTTACACCTTCACTCTTCTTGGCGCACTTGTCAATCTCGTCGATGAAGACGACGCCACGCTCTGCCAGGGAGACGTTGAAATTTGCGGCCATGAGCAACTTGTACAAAATTGACTCGACGTCATCGCCGACGTAGCCACTTTGAGTGAGCGAAGTAGCATCCGCAATAACGAAGGGAACGTTGATCCTTCGTGCGAGTGTCTTTGCGAGATGGGTCTTTCCGACGCCCGTGTTCCCGACTAGCAAGATGTTACTCTTCTCTAACTCGACATTGTCAGAAGAGCCAGTAGAGCGGTCGACAGTGAGGGCATTTCTAGAAGGCTGAAAGATTTCCGGGAGAGTGGTGGGGGTCTCGCGTGAAAGCAGCTGGGTTGGAAGCGGGCTGTCGGTTCTAGTAGTGGTGACGGCAAGAATATCGGATTCGATGCGGTCCTTCGGCGGGCCGTACCACTTTTCATCCTTGGCGTCCTCTGATGTGACTACGGCATGTCTGGCGGCTGCGACAGCATCTTGTTCGGCTTCCTGGGAGGCGCGAAGCATTGCGGCAGCAGCCATGGCTTCGTTTGCGGCGACTCTTTTGTAATGGTTGTAAACGGCGACTGACAGAACCTTCTTGGCGTTGTCTTGTCCAATTACGTACTCGTTGAGACCGGCGTGAATTGTGGACGGACGGGGAATTGCTCGGATTACCTTTTCTAAACTGGGCGGATGTTTGGGGCTTTGTGGGGGTCGATGAGTTGTTGCCGACAGAATTGTGCCTAGTGTGGAGGGTGTGGAAGGGGGACCTGTACGTGAAAAGGTGGACAGTGCTCTTGACATTGCGGAAGGCATGATGGCAGAAGATATTTTGTGCTAGGAACGAAGAAGAAGACGACGCGTAAAGCGTCTGAGATGTTGAGGGAAGTGGGTTGGGGGGATGGTGTGGTGGAAGGGGTGAAGGTTGATTGAGGTTTGTTGTATATATGAGACAAAGCAGGGCGACGACAGACGTGAGATGGTTGCGTTTTTTTGGGGGCGCTTCAATAGGGCAGGGCATGGGTGTTTTCGGGGTATCCGAATGGTTGAGCGGTTGGTGGTGCAGTGCTGAGTGGGGCCTGCGTGAGCTGGAAGAAAGCGCGCGCGTGCTCCGTGTGCCATGAGCAGAGCATGCTTTTTTTTTTACTGGTGATGCAAACGGGTTTTTAACTACGTATTGTACGTGGCGCTGTATATATGGGTGTGTGGTATACTAAAATGTTGGACGTTGTTATGTGTATCATTTCAGGGAAGAAAGGTTTGGTCGCAGTGGAACGAGCCTAGTCTGTACTTGATGGTGGCTTGGGGGGTTGCAATACATTCTGTCAAGGCGCAATATCCGATTGTTATTGGCGGTATGTTGGGAAGCAATTCGGTGTGTAGGGCGCGTAGACTGGATCCATGGCCGACCAGCAGAATGTTTGCCTGCTGGTTTGGCGTGGCACGTTGCACGGTGTCGATGATTGTGGCGACGGTTCGAGAGCATCTTTGTTGCAGGTGGTGATAAAGTTCGGGGTATCCGTCAATGTTCCATGAAAACGGGTACACAGGTTGATAGTCGGTGTTAATTATCGGGAATTGAGCGTGGATTTGATTGGATTGCAACCACTTGGGTCCGTTGACAGAGTGTGCGTACCACGCTTCATTGAGCCATTCACAGAGTCCGGGCTCAACGTTGAGGCGCACCGGGCGCGTCAGTTGTGAGCTTGCGTGTGAAGCGGTCTGTAAAGATCGTTGAAACGGGCTGGCAAAGATGTGGGTGATGTTCCTGTCGGCGAGGGCGGCACCCAGAGCGTGTGCCTGGGAAACGCCATTGCGTGTTAGGGGGGCGTCGTCAGGCCGTTCTGCGGTGATGTGCCATGTGGGATCGACAAAATCGAGACGCTCTCCATGGCGCGCTAGAAAGATTGTGGGTGCGTTGCTCTGCGCACTGTCCATTGCTCGTGCTGTTTGGCGGCGCTTCGCTGCGACGCAGACGCAAGCGGCAGGGCGGGGCGGCAGGCTCTTGCCATCATCATGACGAGCAGCACGCGGCGCAATGGCATGAGGTGCTGTGCTGACGGCGCTGCGACGTGGCACGCGTGTACAGCGAGAGCCGGGGGGGGGGGGGGCAGAACAAAAAGTCGACTCTGGCAGGACTTGAACCTGCAATCTCCGGATCCGTAGACCGATGCCTTATCCAATTTGGCCACAGAGCCCGTTCGGAGGATCACCCTCCGCTCGCGATTACTGGGCCGCGGCTTCGGATTTATTCGGAATCTTGCGATGTGACGTTAACAATATCTGTCGCCGCGTGACGTGACCAATCTCACGAGTCGAGCTCAACGCAGCGGACACGAGTGCAGATTTTTGCATGGCTGCGCAGCCAATTAGCGCGCCGCGCGTTTGCACGCGCACCAATCGCCGCGCAGCGCGCCTGAACACCACGCAATCTCCACCCGCCTCCACCCTGCCCCCCTGCAAGCCAGTTCGGTAAAGCATATAAAAGCAAACCAACACCCAACTCACCCGCATCTCAACTCTCCCCACCCACAATCGCACCCTGCCCCGTTCCGAAAGCACCCCAGCACAGCCAAATACCCCCCCCCCCCGCAATGGAGAACGACGACTTTCTCGAGCCGACCGACATTGGAAACTTCCTGCAGCGTTACCACGAGGCAAGGGCCGCTCGTTCGGCCCCAACAACTCCGGTAGCAACAAAGCCGACCGCCCCGGCATCCCCGACTTCCCCGTCCTCCCCGCCAGCCCGCACTCCGAAAGGCGCCCTGAGTACCTGGCGCAACGTCTTCATGCCGCTAGGAAAGCCGGCAACTTCCGCCGATCGCTACGACCTCGCCCCCGGACAGACGTCCAAGCCCGGTTTCAGCGTCAGTGAGCTGCATGCCAAAGGCACTGGCAAGTCTCTCGACGTGAAGAACGAAGATGAGTGATTTGATATCTTCGCTTTGTACACACTCCCATTGCCGCTGATGCCCCGTCCACCCCCTACTATGCTTTGTATTAAAAGAAGACCTCTCCTGTTCATTCTGTACATTTTCATTTCCTGAGCTTGATCCCCCCCCCCCCCCCCCCCTAGTTTTTACTTGTTCACACCCACACGCTGCTCACAACATGCCAGCTGCGTACAACAATCTTCTACATTCACTAGCGCTCTGCGAAGTGCCCTCCGCAACAGAGTAATCCGTCTCAGCATCAGGCCAACCCAAAGTATCCGCCGCCACCCCTCCAGCCGCGTCAAGAAACAACTTTGCCCCAACTGCAACATCTCGATTCGCCGTTCCGCACTGTCGACCAGCCGTTTCAATACCCAACGCAACCCCCCCATCCGACTCACCCACCACAAACACTTCGTCATCCGCCAGAACATTCTCCCTTACACACATATGTTTTTCCTTGAGTCTACCGCCAAATTCCCGTCCTAAATCCATAGCGCGTCGATCCCATTCACTCAACACCTCACCACCACCTTGTTCACTCCCGCCCGCCTCATGCCCATACGTTCTCCAACTCTCGCCCTGTTCTGCCACACTGCTTGCAAACCCGTGCTCCTCGCTCTCGCCTTCAACGTCAGTGTTGTCCTCGTTGGGGATTAGAATGCGGTCTCCAAACTCGTCAAACTCGATTTTAGCGTGAGAGCACTCGTCAACCGGGGCCTCCTCCTGAATCTTCAGTGTAGAAACCTTGAAAATCGCCGACGTTTCCGCCTTCGCCCTTTCTTCATCTTCACCCTCGTCCCCGTCGCATGTCCTTTCCATGCCCTTTTCATTTCCCATCGCACCGCCGTCGCTTCCGTACAACGCCCCACCACCCTGCCAATCCCCATAAGAAGCACCCGCTTCATCTCCCCCACCCAAGCGTACATTGGGCGAAAACACACCCTTGTAACACTTGACAGACTGCTCCACGACAAGCGTGTTCAACACGCTTACAAAGCAGTACATCGTAATCTCAGCGTGAAGTAACACAAGCCCCCGTTCAACAACCTGTTCCTTCAGTATTCGACACGCCCTTACAGTGCGTCCAATCGCCAAAGCAATCGAGCCATTCGCCCGATTCGCAATCCCCCTGTTCAGTAAAAAGTTTCGAATCGTGCTTCTAGAAGAGGCGCGTCGCGATGACGACCCACCCTTGGCGTTGATCTGAACCGCGACACCACTCAAGTGCTTTCTTCCCTTCTTGCCCACACAATTCTCCAATTCCTTGATAACCGTTTGTGCATTTGCAATAAGCCTCACCGCCGCGTTCCATTCATTCTCCGAAAGCAGGCACAGATCCGTCACGTTGGCGCCACTCTCCACACGTGCATCCACCCACTTCTTCAGGCACTCTATGGTCAACTCTGGCTTCTTTCGCAGCGTTCTCAACAAGCCTGTCCGTCGCGACGACCCGTTTCGAGCGCGTCTCTGTTTTCCCGAACCACTCTCATCCTTCGTAGTCTGGTCATCATCCTTATCGCCCTTCCTAACCACTTCGGCAACTCGCTCAACCACCGCATCCACAATCTCTCCCGCATCAGTCCAGCTCTTGACCAGGTTAAGAGCATACAGCGCGCGATCCACAAACGGCATAATAACGAATCGTTCAATAAGACAGCCCAAACTCTCCGCAAGGGTAGGCACAGCGACCGCCATAGAAAGACATGACGAAATGACAGTCAAAAGCATCTGCGTCTGGCAAAGAGAAGGGAGCACATAATCACCAGCTCCAAACGCACTGCTTCTCAGTGAAAAAGGTTGTAACAAAGTGCCAGCACGAGGTCCAAAACTATGTTGCATGTAACATGTGACATCGTGCTGCACTGAGCGTAAAAAATGGTGCGCGGCACGGCGCACGACCAACGGCAAGGACACAAAGTTTGGCGGCTGGACTCCCGGTTCAACGTCCTTAAACTTATGTTCAAACGCAGCCGCGTAGGACAGAAACTTGTGCAATGGCGCATGAATCACCTCAAGGTTGTATATGCTCGGCGTGATGCATGAAACATTCCTCAACATTGAAACAAATGTGTCCGTGGACGATAAGCGCTCCGCTTGCCATGACGGAGACGACGAAGAGGTGGCTCTCGATGAACTAGTGCCGCTTGCACGAGCATAACTGAAACTGGGCAGCAACGAAATGCGCTTTTCATTCGGATTGGGCGGCATATCGTGTGAAGAATCGGGCGAAGTTTGCGGCACAATCTCATTCAAATTGAGCACGGTCTGCAAAAACAGCGACATCAATCCCTGCATAATTCTCCACACATGTACAATGGCATCCGCCACAGCCGGTAACTGTTGTTTCAAGTCATGATTGAGTTCACAAAGCCGCTCCAAAACGCTTTGCATGCGCTGTACAACGCGTCTAAACGCGGCTGCACAGGCCCTACGCGCGGTTTTTTGGTGCGGATGCAACACGAATGGATGCGCAGAAGCGACACATTCGTCCGTGGCAGGCGGCGTGCGTGCGGAGGACGCGCCCGATTCAAGCTGCAAAGCTTGTTTGAACAAAGCAATAAGCTTGGTAGAAGCATGTTGTTTGAGAACATTTGCAGGAGAATGGTCACCTTGCAACTGCGCCAAGGCGCTAGCCAACTGGGCGCAATTGAGGTGATCCCCCCCAGCATCCGCGTCCGCGTCCGCGTCCGCGTCCGCTCCACAAAACACAGCGCGTACAAAGCGTTGACAAACGGCGATCCCGAGTCTCATCTTGAGCGCCTCCAATCTAGATCTAGCGTCCTTCAAAACGTCAAGGTGGAGCAACGGAGGATTTTCAACAAGGCGAACACACTCCGCAAGGCGAGCGGCCCTAAGAAGCTCATCGCCTTCAAAAACGTCAACGCAGAGCGAGGCGAATCGTCTAACGACGCCGGCAAGCGCAAGCGTGGCGGACAGACCGGCGGCGCGACGAACGGCGAAGCGCAGACGCAAGGCGCTTGCGGGCGGCCGAGCGCGCAGTGCGGTGGCGTCTCGAAGCAGCGCCGAAGCGCGTTGCGACCGTTTCAACGCGTCTGTCTGCGCGGCGGAGGCGGCGAGAAGCGCGGGCCATTGCGGGGCGGTTTCGCGCAGGTAACAGAGCAACTGCGAGCGCAGCGCGCGCAGATGGGCGAGATGTGCGGCGCGGGCGGGGTCGGGCTGCGCGACGACTTGCAGTGCATGTAGGGGAGCGACGAAGTTGGACGACAGCAGCTCCGGGGCGATATGCGGTAACTGCGGCGCCATGTGGATGGGGTGAGCTGAAGCGCCAAGGCGCAGTAGAGGGAGTGGCACGTATCGCAGCTTTTGACACGCTGATGGCTCTGTGCGTGGCACCAACAGCAACAAACAGCAACGTGTTGCTCGACCGTGTAAAGGGGCGCACAAGATGAAACAAGTGTACCACGCAGGGGTAAGGGATATACTGTATGTAGCTAGTATGTACCGACGGGTACGTATGTGGTGTACGGTTGTACCAACGGTAGACTCTAGATAGCAAAAAGGTACAAAGGGAAACACGCACAAATGAGTGAGAGACAGAGAGAGAGGGGGTGGGGGGCTTTGTTTATATCCATTGCAAAAAGAAAATACAGTACAACAAAAAAAAAGGGAACACAAAACACAAGTCACCAGTTGGGGTTCGGTCTGACGGTAGGCGTATGCAGCGGCGGATGGGCACTAGTAGGCGGTTGATTGGGCGGCGAGTCCGGCGCCAGCGGAGAGAAGGGTGCAAGCGGGCTAAGCGGCATAGGGGAAACTCTAGGACAAATAATAGGCGAACTAACCGGCAACGGCGAGCATCTAACCGGCGGTGCAAAGCCTCGAAACGGATTTCCCGTCATCATAAAGGCGTCTTGCGCGCCCACAATTTTAGCTGCCGTACCCTCGTCGTCGCTCTCATCCAGGTCCATGGCGATGGGCAGTTTGGGCATTTTGAAGCCAAACATGAGTGGAGGCTTCACTCCACACGTGAGTGGAGACGAGGGTACTCGCAGGTCGAACGGCGCTTTGGGGCCGGACGCGGCCTCTTTGGGCGGCTGGAAGCCCAGAATGTGCTTGGGCAGCGAACCGGGAATGATGGGCGGTCTGCCGCCAGCGGTGGTGACGCGTTTTTCAGGCAGCAGAGCGCTTGCGGCGGGCAGCGCCGAAGGCGGAGGGGCGTTTGGTGCAAAAGGTAGAGGCAAGGCGGCGGATGACGGGGTGCACTGCGGTTTTGGCAAGTGCGTAGGCGCAGCCATGAGCGC